AATTCCCAAATCCAGTGGAAAAATCCTATTGATTAGAATACAGAAATACGTCATCACTGCACCGCTCTATACGGAACATACTATCATCACAACTGCGTCAACATTGTTTGCTTTGATTCTGCTTATATGACTTTGGCTCTGCCGCTGACTGAGTAGGTGAGGAGTTATCACAAGAAAATAATCTATTAAAGGATGAGGACTGGATGCTGTGCAGGACTAGGACTGCAGAGTGGTTGCATGCAGCAGAGTAGTGGAATTATGAGGGAAAGAGGCAGAGAGCGCTTAGGGATTGTGGGTAATCCCCTGGCCATCTGTTGCTCCCTCCCTCCCTCTCTCTCCCTCTCTCGCCCCACCTGATCACAGCCATCACAAAGAGGAAGTACACCACTGCCTGTACAGTAGGAGCAGGAAGTGACACAGGGATCAACCAATGTCCTGCTTTTCTACATGGCTTTCCCTTAAGATGATGTCTTAATAAAAATCTAATCAAATACATATAGAGATTTGGTTAACCTTTTATTGCACATTTTGTAACACATATTTACATGTGATCGAAATGCAAGAACAATCTACTGCCTAGGATTGTTTAAGTAGACGAAAGTTATTTTATTTCAAGTAATTAGAGTAAACAAAGGTGTTGCTGTGGTGAGTTTTTGCGCTGTCAGCTTTCAATTCATCCAATTAAAGTAGACCTTTTTAGGTAAGCAGTATACATTTTTATTATATTATAGACAGATAGTTCACTTTATTCATACCCGGAAGGAAATCAAAACTGCATAGCATCAAAATACAGTAAAATTACAAAAGGTATACATGTATGAACACAGACAAATACGACATAAAAATGTATAAGCTAATAGTTATTAGTAAAGTTGTTAACAAATAGAGTGCAAAGGGCAAGGTGATTAATAAGTAATAATAAGAAAATTAACAGCAGAATAGTAATAGTAAAAAAAAAAGACTGGTCCTTTTGGTGTTGATGTGACTCACAGTAAATGAACCACCATTTCAGTAGCGGACATTTTGACATGTCACTTCTAACCTCCCCTATACGTCCTAATCTGACATTAGGTATGTGAAAATGTATTGATACACTTGAGGATCATGTATGTTAATCTGTAGTTAAAAGAAATACAATATCATAATATTTATCTACAGAGTATTTTTATGTGTGTTACGTTGTTTGTTTACATTTACTTATACTTAATTTTCTCTGCAGAACAGAATATTTAAATGTGTTTTAAGTCGGCATAAAATGGTTTGAGCCAGGCTTACATCTATTTTGGTTTGTTTATAAATTCTATTTTATTTTATATCAGCCAAAAAGCTGAGGGAAATTATTTGTGTTAAGATTTTGGGATGCTAAAATGTATATTTGTTTGTATGGACGAATTTATGACAGGACTTAAATCTACATGCAGGGATTAAGTCATTCTTTATATAGCCTTCGTATCGATGGTTTTTAAACCGAATAATAAATCATATGTGACCGGAATTACATTGTGTCACGGACATTGAAATCTTTCCAGAACAAAAATGCTGACAGAAACATTAGCCTTATTAAATATATTTGAATTAAGTTTAAGGCATGTTGAGTAGAAAGTCAGCGTACTGGAAAAGGAAAGTAAAAGCAGTAGCTATAATAGGGTAAATGTGCAACTCGCCCTGCAAAAACAGTGAGCTAAATGGCCTCTAAAGCCACGCAGTGCCCAGGACAGGAAATGATAAGCATCAGTTTCCACCATAATGGTCACCTGGTGTATTGCCCTTTAACACAGCCCTAAATAACATCATGCAAATGAGGAACAAAAGGCCACTGAGCCAGCTCACTTTCCTCGGTGACAAAGAGTTAGTGGAAATCCAGAAAAAACAAAACACAGCTCTCTGAACATTTCCACTGCTCCCTTTCCGCTTCACAGTGAGGTATGCACAAGACAGGAAGCGCTTCAGATTTAGTTTCTTTTCTCCGTTGTGATTACAAAGTTCCCTTTTCCCACCGTTTAAAAAGTGCTGAAGTCTGCAGTTGTTAATGTCAAAGCTTGACTACACTACAGACTTCTGAACAAGTACTCCACTTAAAATTATGTTTTCCTTGTTTTTCGTCAGTTTTTATTATATCTTATCTTTTTTAAACGAATGAGACTATTTAAATGGATATTTCAGGACCATTTCGAATAGTTATGCCTAGGTTAATTTAGTTTGTAGGATATTTGGTGTTTTTTTTATTTAGCTTGTTAATGTTTCTGTATAAAACATGAACTCTCATTAATTCGACATATCTTCCGTCGCTGACTGAAAACCCACCTGTTTCGCTTGTAATTTGGCCATCAAATTCAACAAATCTTTTTTTCTTCTAATGATCACTTAAAGAGTTAAGCTTATTTGAAACAAATGCGCCAACACGCAATGGTTTGGCTTATTTGAAGCAAGTATATCTGCATTCTTCTTTTTGTGTCTTGGATAAAAGCATCAGCTAAATGTGTATATATATTGTAAATACTTTCAGTTTAGTGTTTTTTTAAAGCTTCAAATGGCTTATCGGGGTGTCCATAATGTGTTCTCATTGTTCTTGTAAAAAAATTATAATAATTGAGGTATTTTTTGGTCCAGAGAGTACCTTGTTTATTGGAGATACAGATTAGAAAGGGGGAGATAGAAGGGATGACAGTTTGGTGGGCTCTGGAGTCAAACTGTACTTTGGACTATTTACCAAAAAGACAACATTATAGGGACATTTCTTTAGCTGTACAGTCATTTTTGTGTATTTTTGTAGGAGTGATGTTTTGGACAGAAAGTAAAACAAACAAATATGTCTCTCCTGCGTAGTTGTTTTACGTAATGCGGGGAATACAGGCGATGTTAGAAATATGAAAGCTTCATTTGTGCCCCCATCATCCCGCCCTGTCCATCTGCCATCTCCGGCTGCAAAGCTTTATGTGCCTGAACACATCTCTCTGCCACAGCAATCACAATTAATCCCCTCCAAATCGCTCCACAATCCCATAAACGTTATTGTATACATGAATCAGGGGGTTAAAGATCGGATAAAAATAAACCACATAATTCCCTTTCATAACTTTTTGAGGTTATTCGGAAAAGGCTGCTTTCAACCCATACTTCATGTGTATTGTTATTTTAATACCTGTAATGTTTAATGCCCTTGCGCTCTTTTGCCACTGTTTTTGTTCTGTTTTTGTTTACCAGCTGTTGTGTTTTATGATATAGCTGTCTGGGCTTATGCTCCTTGATTATATTAAAGGTCCCATATCATGGCCATTTCTACTGATCATAATTCCATTGTTGAGGTCTACTAGAATAGATTTATATTGTGCAATTTTCCAAACTCACATTGGTTTCTCATACAGCATCTCTGTATAGTATGTGTATTTACTCTCTGTCCTAAACGGCTTGTTGGAGCTCCTGCCCCCCCTCCCTGTGAGCCCACTGTGCTCTGATTGGTCAGCTCGCCCACTCTGTTCTGATGAGTCTACCACCGTTACAGAGGAACATCAGTGATTATGTGTTACAATGGCGTTAGCAACCAGAAAATGACACCAGTAAGGACAAACAGATGCGTGGGGTCTGGGTGCCGTGTTGGCGGGAGGTTGCGGGGCTCGCTGCTGCGAGGAGCGGACAGTGTGAGCTGGGTTAATTTCCTGCTTGCTGCGTGGGATCTGCGAGACAGCGAGACATCACGAATGGTCCGATGCTCCACTAGCTGATATTTCCATCCCATTGTATTGTTCAGACTTAAAAAACATGTGTTTGTCAAAGATCCTCTTAAAGGTGGGGTAGGTAAGTTTGAGAAACCGGCTCGAGATACACTTTTTGTTATATTCCATGGAATGCTCTTAACATCCCGATAGCAATGAATATCTTAAGTGCTTTGACAATAAATCCATAAAAAAATGTCATCTGTGGAAGCCCTAATACTGTAAAAAGCACGACCAATTATTTTAGCCGGCCCGGCTAAAATAACTGGATGGCCTACCTGCCTGTCAGCCTTCCATCTGTGCACAAACTTATCTTGTGCCCTCATTGGTCATGTGCGCGTTCGTGTGTGTTGGAGGAGGGGCTCTGTAAGGAAGTGGCAGATTTTCTCCGGTTGTGTATTTTCAAATTCTAGCGATCTCGAGCCGGTTTCTCAAACTTACCTACCCCACCTTTAATTAATCACACTATAATCATGCCTAGTATATCTTTCTATAAGAATTTTGATTAAGAAAATGATCAATCAATCCAATATGGTGAATCTCATCGCAATTGCAAGTTGTTTTTTCCAAATCGTGCAGCCCTATTTAATAACTCTGATAAAATGTGACTACCAAATTGTTTTTTATAATTTAAAATATTTTTCTTAAAGCAAGCATCAGGCGTCCTTTTTTTAAGAAAATTAATTTCTCAAACCTATTTTGGGCATGACGCATGAAGAAACTTGACATTTATGCATGAACAAAGATTGGATATTTATCTACAAATGTATCAGGGAAAAAAACTAAGATTTGTTCTTTAATGAATATGAGTTATTATGGAAGAATATTGTAATGGGGAAAGGGAAGTAAGGCAAGATAAATGATAACATCATGAGTAATGATCATAAAGGCATGGTGTGTATAAATTCAACAAATCTCTCTGATGTTTTTGTTTTTTAATTACATTTTGACGTAACGCTGCCCACCAAAACAAATGGCTCATCCATTTTTGATCAAGCTGCAGGTTACGTGTTCCTCATTTCGAGGACGTCAACATCGCCTTCGATGTTTTTGTGACTCACGGTTTCTCTGCATATAAATGAATGTGTCACGCTTCAACAACATGAGATACTGTACACTACTCATCCCCATATATGTATACATTACCGGCTTGTTATTTAATCCACGTTTAACATTGTACCCAGCGTCCTAGTGTTCTTGAACTCTTAAAGTTCTACTAAAGAAATTCAAAATGGTTGAAATCTGTTTTCCAAAGAGCCTAAATATTGTCTTTGTTTTGTGTTACAGTGAAAAAAGCCAAGCTCCAAGGACCTCCAGGTGAGTACATCGGAACTTCTTCTACTTTTCAGGACTGTATTGGTCTTCAAAATCAGGGTGGTCCAAACTTTTTTCACCGAGGGCCACATACAGAAAAATATACGAAGGGCTGGGCCACTCACTAGAGGTATATACAGTTGCCTCATAAGTTCAGTTCTATGTTAGCAAAACCAATGAAATGTAGGTAAATGATGCTCGTGAGTGGTGGCAGCTCATCCCTTAAAACAGAAGCCTCAGATTGATTATAATAAGGAGAAATATGAAGGGTGTATTTCAAGCTTGTTATGTAAATAAGTCATTGGGCTTTTTTCTTATCAACTAACATATGTTAGAAAATGTTTCCAACTTTAGCTGACTGAATGTATTTGAAAAGTGGGCTTATTAACACATAAATACTACTGTGTAATATATTTTTCATTTATATTTAAGAAGTACAATATAAGATAAGCACAAGTTTCATTTGTGGGCCATATTCCATTATACTTTTTGAATTTGCTGAGGGCCGATTCAAAATGGTCCGCGGGCCGCATTTGGCCCCCGGGCCGTAGTTTGGACACCCCTGATCTAAATGTTTCAAATGTTTTTACATGAACACTGTCGGAGCTCTTAAGTCCTCTCTTGATTTTGGAGAAAGGAAGCTTTTTTATGTGCAGATCATTTTCTCATTTTTCGGGAGACCAGAGCATATTCTATGGCTACCTACAGGATTGGTAGTGTTGCTTTGAGACATATGTTCAATCATGCCATTGTCTACCAAGGGTGTTTATCCAAAGTTTTATCACAATATTATAATCAATCTGGACAAATATAGATATTTGCTGACATTACAAAGTATACCACGATACGATTTGTTTTTTTATGCCCATTTGTTAAAGAGAACAACTAACATTTGATTTGATATTTTTATAGCTGGGCTTTCTTCCAGACATTTAAATGAAAAACAAGATATTATTTTAAATAAACATATAAAAATAGACCTCCTGTTCACTATAAAGTGCCTTAATTCTTATAATTTAAGTGCAAATGTCTTTTAGTTGCACTTAGATGGAAACGCTGACACAGACGTGCCAAGGGAATTTCAAAAATAAAAGCGTATTTTAACGATGATATGTATGGATGTCTTTTACTTTGAATCGATGATTTAGATTATATATTATTGAATCAATACAGACAATGGATCCTATAATCTCCAACTAGTGACACAGGTGTGCCATGGACATTTCAAGATAAAGGCACACATCGTAAAGATAACATGTATCGATACATTTCGATCATAGATCATTGAATCAATACTGAACAATGGATCCTCCAATCTCCGACTACCTAACCCAGTGATTGAAATGGAGACATAGAGACACCAGGGGAATCTCAAAATAAAGGCGTATCTTAAAGACCTCCAACTCTGACCCAGTGTTGAGCTGTTGGGAAATGTACACAGCCAACCCTAACTAATGCAGCTGTTTGCACTGTATAAAGCCAGACGCCTACATGGCTCACCTAACTTAATGATAATTCGCTTTGTGATTTTTAGAAGCATGCCACTTGCAACCATTTTCGCATGTAGGTCAATCAGTCAAGTTCTAGCGAGGCCCGGGTTGACTTTGCATTATGTTCTCCGGTGTCCTTCTATGTCAAAACCGTGCACAGGTGAGCTTAGATTGTTGGTGGCTAAATCCAAATCCCCACGCTCTCCACCTAAGTAAATCCGTGGTGTGTTTAACATAACGCCTTCCACTAAGCCGTATGACGTTTTTGGCTAGATACTCACTCTCATTCTAGGTCCCCGTCTGACCCTGTGTTTGCCGAGGATAATTGTTAAAGTTAATTACAGAGCAGGCCTCTTCGTTTGTTCGCTGTGTCCCTTTTTAAATAATAAAAAAAAATGAGTCTGAGGTGTCTACATTATGTCAGAGGCAGCACTGTTTATTGGTTTAGTGAGATATTGGTTTTAGATTGTCAGCCTTCTCTTTCTGTCCCCTCCCTCCTCATGTGACACCTGTCCCAGAGCAAACATCAGGGAATTCAGTTAAGCCTGCCGTCTCCTTAAGGCGAAATGTAAATTTGTAAATCAGTTGTTGTTTTTTTCTTTGCTACATGGCAATGAAGTTGAGTACAGTCCAGCATTAGATTTTAGAAAAACAAGGCTATGTTCACGCTGTAAATGAGTGAGACTGTTTACATGCTGCAGTAGAGAGAAATATGCATTGAGAAGGCAGTCTGCAGATGTGTCGTCAAATGAACAATAGCAACAACATGTAGGCAATGAAAACCCAACAATACATTATACATAAGGCAAAAGAGAAATAAGGAAGTACAATTATGTGAGATGGAATAAGATAACACAGAATGTAAAATTAAATACTGTACGGTTTGTGCCTTTTTGCAGTGCGTAGTATACATTTGAGGCAATTTTTGGGAAATAATAAAGGACCAGCATGCTTACATTTCTAAGTACACGTGTTATTAGCCTATGGTTGTTGTTCCAACAGCAGAAATAGCAATCAAATTTGGATATTCAAATACTTGGGGTTGTGAATGTGTCGTGTGTATTGCAGAATGTAGCTTATATTTGTATATGCAAAAATTCCACATCATGATGAATGGACCAACAATAACATATAACTTTCTTATTTTCCCCTTATTTTCCACTAATCTACAGATTATGTTATGATTTAACTGATTATTTTATGGTCTTTACATTGTCAATTAATAGCAAAACATATTTTTTTTAAGTTTCGTTTTGTCAGTCCAAAAACATTCGGTTTCATATGAACTAAAACGGAGAAAAGCAGAAAAACGTAATATTTGAGAAGCTGAAAACATATTTTCTATTTTTAAATTACTTTAATCGTCTATCCATTATCAAAATAGGGTGTAATTATGTTACCAACTTATTGATAAATCTTACTGTTGCAGCTATATTAACTTTCATATGATATCATGAAGTATTATGGTATTGTGCTACTGTTTTGGCACATTTTCCATTTAGATTACATTTATCTGCTTAAACTGCTATACAATTGATTATATCTATATATAAGTTGCATATATATCCCACTGCGTAGATCTGCACCTAATCTAGCCTCAGTCAGGTAATGGCCTTTCTCTGTTTACTCAGGCTCAAGGAATGAATGACTTAACATGATCTGCTTCTGATAACCGTAACTTGTTCTGCATTGGGAGACGTGTGATGTATTGGAAGAGCTCTTAAAGTTTACATAAGGCTGGTCTGGAAGTGTGTTTGCGCTTCGCCACACCTTCCGATAGACAGATTTTAAGCTTTTTCTTTGGCACCCTTTAAAAACAAGTTGTTTCTGGACTTATAGTCTGTCACTCTTTTCAATTTCATTACCAAAATAAAAGAAGTTTAAAGCTGGGTTAAGCGACTAATTTTAGGCATTGATGGGCAAAAATGTCATAACAACCTCTCGGCATAAAGTTATACAAGGGGTCCGAGTGAACACTAGACTTCTGCATCTACAGTTTGCTCTGGTTTCAGACCACAGGCCATTTCAGAGAAAAAGAGAGTTCCTATTGGCTGTTTTTCAAAAGCAGATGCGCGTGCAACTAAGGCCCTCTGTCAAAACCTGATACTACGGAGGAATATACTGCAAGAAAAGTTGCTATTCCAGCGTAAGCAACAACATGCTGACTCAGCAAATCAACCTGAAAGAGGAAGATTAACTTATCAAAATGTCGGACAATTCTAGCGAAGCATTGCCCACCTTTTTTATAGTTCTCTCTAATAGTAGTTTATGCTACTTGAATTCCAATATATTAACGGTTATTATGTAAATGTTGCCATAAGATGCCAAAAACCACATATTCCCCAAACTTGAACCGTCCCTAGTTCACATTCATCTTGCATTGTTCGCTTAGTCCATAACTCTATGAACTGAAGGCAGAGAGACTTCTCATCAGGCGGTCGCAACAATAGTAGAATAGTCCTGAAATAAATCTTCTATTACATGCAATATTGATGAGAGGTATGAATTTGAAATGTCAGCCTTCCAACTGCCTGCGTTTCCTTGACTAATTTATTGAGAAAACTCCTCATCAATCAATAATGGATGAAGACGCTTGACTGAGGGCTCGGGGTCCCGCTGCACAGGGAGAGAGAGGACTGTCTCAAAACAGGGACTGGACAGAAAGCCTGCATCGTCACTTCTTTACAACACACTCACATGTGTGTGTTTGCACAGTATGAGAGAATGAGTGTGTGCAAACACCGTGTGTGTGCTGTCATGCATTTTGACATGTCAGAATGAGTTCTCCACTCAATGAGGAAGGACTCATACCATGCCAACTTTTAACCTCATGTTGGGTTAGGCATGATTTGGTGGATCCTGGTCAGGGAACTGGTAGGGACAATATTAGGGCTCTACCGGATGTCTTTCTGAATCAGTAGATTCATCCTTTGTTAGTCCAAAAACCCAATATTTACTTCAATATAATATAAATCTGAGAAAGGCAGGACATCTCCATAATTACATTTCCGTAAAACAGCATTTTCTGCTATTTCTGTCGCATGAAAAGTTACTTTAAATAATTAATCCACTATTTTAAAAAATCCCTTTTTTACAACTCTAAATAAAAGGTACATTTGAAAGCAAGAAGAAGTTCATATTGGATTACAACAAATTCAGAATGGGTATGGCTTTACCAGAGACGGTTCAAAAAGAAGACAGTTGACAGTACATTTTCTGTATCTGCATCACATTGGCTACATTTCTTGCAAAGAATCTGACTCCAAAATGCCATTTGTGAGAAGTACAAATCAGGAGAAAATAAACTTTGCTTGAGACCAATTTGTTTTTGACATGTCCGTCTCAATATGTGAAACTAAGTATTGCAGCTGTAGGTAGTAAAAAAATAAGGACGATACACTTAAATAAATCCACTCCACTTCTTGCATTTGTTTGACCATTTTATTCTTCCACAAAAGGCACAATGCAATTCAATTCAGCTATTGAGGTCAACAGAACAATTCACTCCCCAAGCTCCAGTGAACACACCCACCACCAATAAGTGAAAAAACATAATAAATAAAAAACAAAGACCTTACATATGGCTCCTACACAAAGTTAGTCAAGCTGTGAAAATTGTTAAACGTTAGCCCTAGCTAACTAATATTCACAATGCTAAATGTTTTTAGCTATTAAAATATCTAATATTAGCAAAATAACATACAATTACAATTGGCCGTGCCCACTTCGGAGACAGGAACCGATACTTTTCCATACCATTGACGCCAAATCTCATGTTTAGCTATAGAACATCTTCATCTTCAGTGTGCCGCCATATATTTGGTGTCTTCCCGGACAGTTATGGCTGCTTTCTCCTTAATGGTGCAGATTGTATCAGCTGTATTGTGGACAGCACCTGCTGCAAAGGATCCACAGCCGCTAAGTGGCTCTTATCTAATCCATACATCCTCTTCCCTTATCTCATCTCTTCTATTCATGGTAGCCGGCCCAAACGTGGCACAAGGCATGCACTATCTAATTAGGGGAGAGGCTTGAGTATCCCCCAGGCTCCCTTTGTAATAATGCCTGTGTTTTGTCCTACTGTCCACCCAAGACAATAATTAGGTCTGTCTTCTTTCACACACGCTGTTTGCCGGATGGACAATGCTTTTAGACGGTATTACGTCACCGGGGGGGTTTTTTACAACATGGTTTTTTTTAAGGGCCGAATTTAATCTTTATATATGTGGCAGTAGGAAACCAACTGGGTCAAATGTTTATTGTAACATTGTGTCAAGAGTTGAGTTTGGTTTAGTTATCTGGCTACTGTGTTGAAGGGGCTGTGCAAAGTAAATGTTTCCAAATGTTGCCGGGGTATCAAGGAAAATCTTTGTTTAGGGTGGTCAGGTAATCAGTCAACAAAGGAACAGCTGATGCCTTGCTTTTATTTCCCACAGACCAAGGTTGTGTGTGTGTGTGTTAGTGTTGGATTTCTGTATGTGCACGGGGACAAACTGTCATGTCTTCCAAAAAAGTGTGTGTGAATGTTTATCGCTTCCAATGAGAAAAAACTCGCCTCCAGTGTTTGAATGATTGTGACTTTTGGCTTGTGTTGTAAAGCTATCAGGTATTTCACCTAAAAGAGGCCTGAACAAAGGAGTCCAGTGGAGGCGTTTAAGGCAGGGTAGGGAGGAGTGTGAGAGAAACTCTGTCTGTTGGGAACTTTTTGGAGTGGATTTTAGCCTTTGTAGACCATTTATTTCCACAAAAACCTATATAACACACTACAGGGATAACCCATATTAGGCCTGTTTAATGGATAAGGCCAAAACGGATGACCTATCTGGTTATTTCATCTATATACAGTTTCATAGTTAAAATTCTCAAATCTTAACGTTTACAAAATTGTAATAATTTAGTATGAAGTGTGATACAATATGAACCAAAACCCAAGATCAGAGTTTCAGGCCCTGTCCACACGGAGACGAAAACGAAAAAAAAACTAGGTCGATATCCAAAAAGTCTTCCATCCACACGGAATCGGCTCAAGAAACGTGCCCGTCCACACGAGACCGCTCGACCCGCTGGAGACGCTGTAGTTCATATGCCGGGCCTGTAAGTGGCGCTGTACTTCCGTCACAAAATACACCAAAAGCAGCGAATAAGACCCCCGAGTATGGTTGCCATGGTTGCCTGGTTGCCCTTCTGTTTATTCTCCGCAGTGGATTTAGCAACATGTAGTTCATGTAGTTCTCCATGTCCACTTGTTGCTGATCGTTGTGGTAGAGGAGCTGTAGATTTTGCACTAACATCTGTATCATGGTCAGTAGCGTCTGGAGCACGAACGCAACCCTGTAATCCGCCATTGTTGTTGTTGGCGAAACGCATCAGCAATGACGCGGGGGTGAGCAGGAGAGGTGGGGAGAGGCGGGGCTATGATCGTTTAGGGCGTACACACGGTGCCGCAAGCGTTACGTTACCAGATCTTCCCACTTTGGGATGCGTTATCGTTTGAGGGCTCCGTAGCCGCGGCACCCGTTTCGTCTCCGTGTGGACGGGGTCTCAGTGTAAGTCGTTCCTCCAGCTGCTTGAGTGCCCAGGTAGGGGGTCGTATTTATTTATTTGTATAGTGTGAGTCTCAGGGAAGACCCCCCCCCCCCCCCCCCCCTGGTGCTGATGCTCCCTCTCCCTGCAGCGGGAAATGAAAAGTGGGATGGCTGCGTCACGCGCCGTCTAATCCGCCCTCCGCTCCCCCCCCCCCCCCCCCCCCTCCCCCTCAGCCCTCTTCCCCCCGCGCTGACAGCTGGTGCAGACGGATGGGTGTTGTGGCTCTGCTTACCGCCATGATGGAGGCTGATGGAGATCACTGGGTGTGAAAATCGTCTACACACTCGCAGACAGGCACTTGACTCCACGTTACAAAAGCAAACAGTCCCAGCTAGGGCTGCAAACAACACTTTTCTTCATCATTGATTGATTTATCGATATTTTTTTAGATTAAAGTTGCTGTGGCCCAGGAGGGTCGTCCAACAGTCGGGTGGTCGGTGGTTCAATCTCCAGCCTCTGCTGTCAGTGTCCTTGGGCAGATGCTTAACCCCAAGTTGCTCCCGATGCTGTGGCCAACAGTGTTTGAATGTGTGTAGATGCTGACCTTTATATGTAAAGGGAAATCCATTTACCATTTAACAATTATTGTTTATTTATATTCTGATATATAACATTCCAGGTCCAAAATCTCCAAATGTTAAGGCTACAACATTTTTATTTTCTGTGATTTTTGCACAAATAACTACAACACCCTGCAATCCGCCATTATATTGTACCTTTCTTTGTTAAGACTGCCTTCACCTTTGACTGAACTGAATTTCAATGTTAGTCTTGATGCTATCGGGGCTGACGGAGACCTTTCCGCAGCAGAAACAGGTCATGGGTAACAGCGGACCTTCTGCCTCTATGACACACTCCATATTAAGAGTGCAATGAATAGAGTAGTTTCAAAAGAAGATGGTATTCACTGTGCAGTAAAGACTTTGCATGCTGCATGAGGTTGGCTCTGCATGGAGATTAACAGAGTCAGTGTGATGGCCTGGCCTGGCTTGGCTTGGCTTGACTTAGTTGGGGGGGTGGGCTTATCTGCTTTCACTCTCACTGGATCTCCTGATGTCTACCACACAAAGCCCGGCCCGGTGAATATTAATGTAGTATTACTTGAAAGTGCGTAGGTCGCCTTTTGATTTGTTTCGACTTAAATATATGTCTTTATATTGTATCATCTTATGACTGTTGACCATTTTTTAAATGATGTATTTTGGCCCCGTTTTGTCTGATAAATATTACTGTACCAATCATCTGTAGAGCTTTTTCATCTCATGTTCTCTTATAATAATACACAAGTCTCTCGCATGTATTTGCAGTAAGTGTACCTCACTATATTTTGAAATTGGATTTATTGAGTTTTCAGTGAAATAAAAAAAAAGGGAAGGAAAAAAACGAGAGAGAGAGATGTCGTAACAAGGGGACAATTATTTATTATTATTTCAATTGTATGAACTCCGTAAATGGCCATCAAACTGTATTGCTTATAGTCTAGAAAGGGCTCAACATTGCTTCCGATTGTCTCCTTTTCAAAAGGACATTACATGCCTCGCTATAATTTAAACATAATCTCTCTTTTCCTTTTGTTTTCAGACAAGTTCAACACCTACGTGACGCTGAAGGTGCAGAATGTCAAGAGCACGACGATCACTGTGCGTGGGGACCAGCCCTGCTGGGAACAGGATTTCATGTTGTAAGTTATATCAAACAAAGACACAATTTAATAATTCACCAACTGCAATAAATATGACTTTCATGGTAAAGAAAGCTAATTCTGCACTGACATCAAGCACTTCAATACAAACTACAACCAGAATGTTTTTATAAGACTGGTTTGGCCAGTTGCTCCCTTTTTAAAATGATATAAAATATTATTGAATAAATATATTTAAATACACATATAAACGATAAGTAATGGTGCAATACAAATGTTAAAACAAATAATTAAATGTAAAATAAAATAGAATAGAATATCAAAAATATGTTCATAATATCCCATATTATTATATAATCAGTATCATTCATTTATTTATTGTATTAATGTGAACGGTCCCCAGCCTAGTTCCTACCTGGTGCTTTGAGCTCGGGGAAAGGTGTCTTTGTTTTCACGCTGTGCGAGTATCTTGTTAAACAGCTGCTGTTCATTTCCTCTTTGTAATTCATTGGTTTAATTTCCTCGTTTTACTTTCCCCGTGAAAGGTATCTATGGTGACAAGAGAGCCGGCACGTTGTTGCATGCGTGTCATTGTTTGTCTTTTGTTAAGTCGCTCATTGCTACACTGTTTGTTTTTCCAGACCTTCATCGCTCTGCTGTCCATTAATGATGTGTCAGCTATGATGTAAACCAAAAAAAAAACATATATATATATTCATCTACATTTCCAGCAAATGCCCAGCACCATTCGTATGTCAAATCTGTTAAAAAGATTTAAAAAAACCCTCCTTAGTTTACTTTCCTAACATGGTGACATCACTTTGTAACACTCACACTTCTATTCGCTACACATTGTACATGATAGGCTTAGACCTATAAATACCTTTTTGAACATCGAAGCATATACACATGTCACACTAGAGGCACTAAATATAAAATATGAACCAGAAATGTGCATTATAGGGCCTCTTTAATATTTGGGTAAACAATATCAGGATATATAATGATTTCTGTTAAGTCAATAATAAAAAATCTGTATAACAAAAACACACAGGAAAGCCTAAGTTAGTATGTGTGAAATAAATTATAGAGAAATAATACATTTAAGTCCTATCATATATCATGGTATATAGCAAATGATATATCATGCCTTTTTTATATTGTTCTAACTGTATATATCATTATATGCATGAATGAGCACATGATTTAGAAAGCCTACAGTAAATGCCAATATGCACCTGGACACTCAGCCCCCCCCCTTAATTTTTCTCAATGAGCTGCTCTCTTTGATTATCTTTTCCTCTCATCTTCCTTTTGTTTGGCCCTTCAATCGCTATAAACTGCCACAGATAGAGAGAATATGCAAATGCCCTTGTAGCGCTGCTCCTTTCAAAATTGATATGCCATTTTGTTGCTGTCATCAAGCTGTTTTTCAAGCCCTTTGAAAAGCACGTTGAATGACAACACAAGGCTTGAATGTATTATGATAGCTAACACACAACGAAGAAAGGAAGTAGCCTTTGTCATCGACAGTTATGGGGCCTGGCAGTAACTATGGAGACATTTGTGTGTGAATTTAATGGCGATCAGAAACTTGTTTTCTGATAACAAGGGCTCAAACTACACAACTATTGTTATTATCCGCTGAGTGTGCTGACATTTCCAACCCTTGGGTTTTCAAAAAGTGATATAAACACGCTTGACAGTACTTCATCATTTTTTTAATTTGAATCTTTCCTCAGTGAGATCAACAAGCTGGACCTCGGCCTCATTGTCGAGGTGTGGAACAAAGGCCTCATCTGGGACACCATGGTGGGGACATCATGGATTCCTCTGAAGGGTATCCAACAATCAGAGGAGGTACGCATATGCACCCATACACAATAGAAATAACACACATTCTGTGAGATCAGGTTCAGGTTCTTTATTTGTACCCGTACTGTAGGTAGATTTAGTTTGCAGATAAAAAAGACAAGGGATCAATCCTGACACACTCTAAAAACAAACACAGACAACAGACACATCTCCCTGCTCTATCAAATGTTAAAAAGAAAAACACTAGTACAAACACAGATATAAACCTAAGATATAATACTTGAAAATGATGATTACTGATAATGATGGCAGAAAGTTAGTAGAATAATGAACACTAAGAAGATCCAACTGTCCAAATGTCAATATCAATATATGTGTCTTCATTGCAGGAGGGCTCGGGGGACTGGCTCTTTCTGGACGCAGAGGTCCTGATGAAGGCAGATGAGATATATGGCACCAAGAACCAAACGCCTCATCGAGTCCTGCTGGACACTCGCTTCGAGCTGCCTTTTGGTGAGATGCGAGAGTCTCTGACACAGTTGTCAAGTTCAGGTCTTTATGAAAGACATTTTCCCATCATCTCAAGTACCAGCTCTGACCACAATGGGTGCATGATAATAAAAAGTAAATTTGAGTTTCTGGTTAGCGTAGGGCAAATCAAACCGTCATCCAATGAGGTACACAAAGGTGCACACGTGTTTCCTGCTGAAATGTCACCAGCTCAGGAAATGCTATCCAGCCTGGGGCACTGCCTTTCAAATGAATCGTATCTTCTAACCTGGTGTCCTGTAGTCTTATGCAAGCATCTGTCATTTGAATTCAAATACAAAAATAAAAGACTAAATGAACAACATGTTCAAGAAGAGTACAAGGTCACTTTCTCCCCGTAACAAAATTAAATCATAACCAAATAGCGTTATCTCATTAAATCAGGACACTTAAGTTGAACAGCTAATGTCTAGAAACAGGGCACTCTTAGACGTTCGTCCAACCGCCTAATGTCCCGTCTCTGGTTCCACTGGGGATTAGGAGTTTCTGGTCTGCTTAAATTGAGGGCACTGACTCATATATGGCAGATCTTCCTTTATTAACTTAGGTTCAGTAAATATAATTTGGTCTTCGCCAGGCTGTTCCATTGTGGCCAACAGGATTAAGGAACTATTAAGAATATGTTTATATATAGCTAAAATGAAGAAGAGGAGAGTATTACTGGGACATTTCCCTTAGCTTAATCAAACATCCCACAATCTTTTTATTTTCAACATACTTTTCCTGCAGACTTCATTTATACTAATTTCATGTTCATTGATCAAAGAACATGCTAGACCTCAGACACCTCCTTGATTAGCTATTAGCTTGACTTAGCATTTAAAAAAAGTAATTTCAATGAATTTCATTCAAATATATTTGCCCTAGGGTACCATTCAGTTATATCCAGAGGGTGGTCGTCCCCTGTGCTCCTCCTGTTCTCTGTGGGTTTGACCACAGTTATCCTACAGTATCTCTGATACCAGGACTCCATATTAAGCTCAAGCCCTGTGATCATCAAAGTTAGAGCAGGGAGTCTGTCCACCAAGTGTTTTTTTATTTGTATTCAAGAGGAGACCTTTCAAGGTTGCAGGAGGCCATCGTGACTCTCTGAGCCACCACAGCCGTTCATTAAAGCTGTGGGTCGGTGTGTCTTTGAAGCCCTGGCCTTTGTGTGAGTGGCCTTTAATGTGCATCTGTCGACTGAGCAGCAGCAAATCCCCCTGCAAAGAGGGAATAGTGAGACGACCTGCTCCAATACTTAAAACAATCTAATAATTTGATTATTTTAATGGATTGTATGAGGGCTATTGTTGATGAGAATATTAATGGATTACAGAGCTGGCTGAGGGGAGTAATATTGCCAGAAATATACACAGATAAACATGATTAAGTTAATGAAAATACAAACTATTTTATATATATAAATGATCTGTTCATTAATAAAGTTATATCAGAGTAGAATACATTGAGTTTGGTGAAGTTCCTTGTTTTGATGGCTGCTGCTCTCACAGAAAGAGATGTTGTCGAATTAGCCAAAATTGGCCTAAAGTAAGATGTACCACTCCATGTAGAATTTAGAAAACCAGACACAGGTTCAAGTTGTTTTGGAAACTTTCCACACTGTCCTGAATAATAGGACATCGTGATGACTTCTTTTGTTATAGCATATTTAATCGTTTGTTTACAATTAAGTGAATCTGTTTGCTTTAGTTTGGCAGCCAATATTTATCCTGCTCTATGATGAGCAGGATGTTTACTTCAAACACAGTAAGGTGACGTGTGTGTGTGTGTGTGTGTGTGTGTGTGTGTGTGTGTGTGTGTGTGTGTGTGTGTGTGTGTGTGTGTGTGTGTGTGTGTGTGTGTGTGTGTGTGTGTGTGTGTGTGTGGTGTGTGTGTGTGTGTGTGTGTGTGTGTGTGTGTGTGTGTGTGTGTGTGTGTGTGTGTGTGTGTGTGTGTGTGTGTGTGTGTGTGTGTGTGTGTGTGTGTGTGTGTGTGTGTGTGTGTGTGTGTGTGTTTTATGTAGACATCCCAGATGATGAGGCTGAGTACTGGACAGGCAAGCTGGATCGCATCAATACCATGGGGATCCATGATGAGGTAAAGTGCAATTTGACAATATTTGACTTGTATTTGTATTCATATTTGTTTCAAGAAAGCACCGCATATCAGTTTATTCATACTGATAATCACTCTGTATGTCTTATAAGATGTGCTGAATGTTTTCGTCTACTACATCTTCTTCTGATGCCACATGACTGGTTTTCCTTTTTATAAATATTGATGGAGTGGTAATGGTGAATTGTTGTAGTAAATAATAGATATATGCCAACATGCAAAACAAATTGAATGCTGTTTTCTCTCCCTCTCTCCTCTGTAGTATCCTCTTCACGATGACGTTCAGAGTCGCCCTCTGCCATTTGCCGCCTCCCAGTGCTGTGAGTGCACACGCTCCTTTTGACCTCTAGATAGAGCCATTTCTCCGTCTTTCTATTTTCAGACTTTAATATGATTTCCTCTCACTTCCTTACTGTTCTGCCGAACTGAAATCCTCTTTAATCAGAGTTTAAAATGAAGACTTAAAAAAAGAGTCCTTCTATCTTTTGAACCCGTATGCATGTCAAATGTTTGTCTTCCTCTCTGATGGGGTTTTCCCTCATCCTCTTACTATTACAAAACAGGGACACTTTTGTTTTCACAACCCCTGCCTCCTCTGACTGTACCTCTCACTTGTAACGTCTGCACTTTCACCAGGCAACTATTTCGGATGGGCTGAGCCTCTGAGTATGTAAACAAAACTTGATCAAATTCTCCCCCCCCGGCCAATCCTCAGTGCCCTCTGCATGTCCTAATGTCCCACATTCCCCGATAACATATAATCTATAAGGTTTTATTGCATTTTAATATCATTATTCCACCCTAACACTTTTTCCTCAATGATTTCCTAATCCCCTTTTTTCCTCTTTTTTCAGCTTCCTTTTCCTGCTTATGCTGTTTTCCTTTTTATGCTCTGTGCTGCGGTCATATAATTCTCATTACCCATGTTACCTTAATACTTACAATATTGCTATATGACACATCCTAGAAAGATAAATGTCAGAAAGTCAGTGTTTTCTCTCCTTGAAATGTAGACATTTAGTGAGTAGCAATACATAGATATAATGCTGAACAACAGGAGCCCTTATCAAATCCTAAAGGGTGCACGTTGCAGTTGCATCTTTGAACCTATAGGTTGTAGTCATTGCTAAACTATATTTTTGACTGTATGTCACCTTGACATTTTGTTGTCCTCCCAAGAGATATCAATAGAATCAGTTTATCTTAACACTCTCCCTTTATCGCTCTGGAAAGATAAACTCAGCTGTCGCCTCCAGTACACACCAAACTCACTCTTGAAAAAGGTTAAGGGTTATTATTAGGTTTGGCAAGGTTACTTTCAAAAATGTTGAGGTGCTTTTCTTATGATCATTACTAGTATATGATACGTGTTGTACAATATAAACATCAAGGATAACGTAGATAAAGCTCAATGTTTTTCCATTAAGCAGGAAATCTTGTATGTATAAATACCATATAATCTTTAAAAAAAATGCATGCCCATTGCCCTTAATTTCAACCTGGCATATGCTGTTTTACTTTTGTTTATTTGATAAACTGCAAACAATTTTGTCCACTTAGACAACATTTGAACTGGTTGGCATCTTCCGCTTTGACATGAGTTAATGAGGATTTTATTTTCAAATGCTTGCTGCCACACAAAGCATACTTATAGATGTTTCAGGTGAGATTCCTTCACTTAGCTCACCCTGTTTCCTTTTTGCAGCTCTGGATGACCAGGACAGTGCCGTAGACGACCGGGACAGTGACTATCGCAGTGAGACCAGTAACAGCCTGCCTCCGCGTTACCACACAACGGCTCAGCCCAACTCCTCCATGCACCAGTATCCCATGGGGCCTCGGCAGCAGCAGCACCCGGACTCCTGCACAGACTCTGTCCACAGTTTGGACCTGGACTACAGGGACCAGATAGCAACCAGGTAGGGAGAGTATCCATCGAAACACACCTTCTGAATGAAACTCTTAACTTTGTCACAGAGTCCCAATCACATAGGCAGCACTCTCTGAAATCAATATTGAAACAAGAATGCCACCAACAACACCCTTATTAATCAGAAATGATCTTTATCTCAACAATGAACCTTATAAGACATTAGGTTATCTTAAAGTATATAATTTCTCTCTTTTTTTTATAAAATACATACGTCGGAGGGCCTTCACTTTTAGAGTTATAGCCTAATGGCAAAAGTAGGCGGTTAAACAATTATGCATATTTCTTTCTTCTGAATAGTTTATCTGACCTAGAATCAAACATGGCTGGAGCTTTTAATTTTTTGTGACAGAGTAAATGGTTTGTTAAAAGAAGAGGGATCCATACTTCATAGGCTAAATGGATTTTGTCACAAGGCATATTACACTCAAATTATAAATCAAATACATTACTTTCAATTTAAAGAGGAAAAGAACAGCGTGACTTTCACTATAGGAATAATAATATATTATACTGTCGTTGTTTTTATTTTGAAGCCAGTTTTGGTCAATAATAATGGTCCCAGTGCACTGGATGTACTTTTGTTTACTCATGGATTGTTGTAAAATACATGGGTACCAGTGAGACTGCTGCAAATCAGCCTGTGTGGAACGATAGGAAGTTGATCCGGATAATTCTACATCAGAAAAAAGAAAACAATTGGATTACAGTCGGGGAGAGCTCATCAGTCGTGTTTGTTTTTGGTCATGAGGGTCTGTTTCGTTGGTTGATAGTTAAGCCATTTCACTGAAGAAATCCTAAGACATACTGTTTAATACCCATGCACAGTAATATATATTTGATGGTATTTTTAGAGTTTTAGAGTAAATGTATTGCAATTTTCTTTGCATTATCATTGTAACCAAGCTTTTCCAATTCATTCTTAAAAAACATTGCTAGCTAATCTGAATTCCGTCTTTACATTTGCATGAAACTGTTCTCGTCTTTATTTCTGTTTATTTTTCTGCTTAACTTTTGTTTGCATTTTTTTTTTCTTCTTCTTTATTTGCTTCTTTTCTGTCCCTATGCTCTTTCCCTCCCTTTTGTAACATCAATTAATTAAACTAAATTAGACCATTAAATCAGAAAGGAAGGGTCAGAATTATACCTGTGGATTCTGGCATGGGCGTTGAAGATTGGGAAAACAAATACAAAGGACAGAGCAAGCCTCACTTGAGTGAATTCTTGGATGATGAAGAAGAAAATGTTATCCTTCGAATGGGAAGACCCGACCCTGAGTCGTCACGCACCTCTACCAGTCAAAATACTCAACGCAGTGGTTTTCTGCCTCCCACCTACCCCCAGGGTTATGACACTATTGATCGACGGCGAAAGAAAAAGATAAGAGACCCAGGAGGGTTGCTAAGTACAGATGCTGACAAAAAAAGAGAAGAGGCTTTCCCCTCTGACATTGCACTGCTCCGTGAGAAGAGAGGGGAGCTATTTATGCGGCAGGTAGTTGAGATGCAGGAAGAAGAGGAGCGCATAACATCCTGCCTCAGGCCGTACCAAAATGGCCTTCTCTACAAGACAAGGATGTGGGCGAAAAATGAGCTAGACAACACCTTGGAGAATTATGTGGCATACAAAAAAGAGCAAGAGGGTAGAATGAGGAAACGGTTTGATTTTGATTTCGAGGACTCTGAGGATCTTCGCTACTCCATGGGAGCAGAGGAGGATATTGATGATATCGCCTTTATGGCTCAAGACTATTACTCGGAGAACGCAAGACATTATAAAGACAGGTATTCCCTCTCCTGTCCCTCAGAGAATTCTCATGGTCCTCGAGAGAAAAAGTCTGGCAAAGCTAAACTTGGAGGTTGGGCCCCAGAGGCAATGCTCTCTCCTGTAGAGGAACCAAGTGATGAATACGTAGACCCTTTGGATGAACTCCAGTGTCTAGTTGAAACTGTTTCTGAATACCTTGCTGAAAAAGAAGAAGAAATGAGCAAGTATGGTTCCCTTCCTAAATCAAACAAATCTAGGCTATCATCTATTGGAAGCTATAGAACCAATTCTCTCGGCGATGAGCAAAATAGTTCATCAACAGATCCTAAAGAAGAAACCCAATCACAAACTCCTGATCAGGGCATTTCAGGAGTAAAAAATGCCATGAGCTCATTATTTAGTTCTCTTACTGACAAAGTTGGAGGAGGCCCCAAACAGCCGGTCCCATCTCAACAGGCGCCATCTGCAGAACCCTCCAACCAATCTGGACTAACAAAACTATTTTCCTTCATTCCCAAATCAAATAGCTCAGCTCCTGTAGCTGTTGTATCTCCGGTAGACAATTCTCATGAAAAACCATTCAGTTCTCCGCCTTCTCATCCATCACAATATGCCAAGACACAAGGTCATTATCAAGAAACAAAGTCTCCCACAAGGAGTCAGACTAGTAAAAAAGAACATGTACTAGAATGTGTAACCAAACCTCAAAATGCTCCAGGTAACTCAGTCCTGGGAAAATTGAATCCTTTAAAACTTTTTTCTGCAGTAGATAATGGGAACGCCGCTGAAAAGGCACCAACATCCACAAATCCTCCAGGCCATACACAAGGGGACGAGCAATATGTTCATCAAGGTAAACAGTCAATGGCAGCAGAAGGAGATAGAAAATCCGAAACATTCAGTTCATTGCAAGAGAAACATTCGGAACAAAAACGAGATGGAAATATGTATGGCATAGAAAATCCAATGATTTTCAAACAAGAACATGTGCCTAATCTGGGTCCAGCAAGGTCCACTAGCCAAACAGAATCAGTACATTCTGGATTCTTTAGTCCTTTCAAGAAGTCATTGAGTTCATTGCTCACACCTGCTGGCCTCATTCCCCCCCAGGGAGCTCCACCTCTGACGGTTTATCCAGTGTTTAGATCTACAGAGGCTCCCCGACTACAAAAAACCAGTAGAGGACCCATCATTGAGCAGTAGACCGCCTTTCCTCTCCTCTGAAAATGTCTCAACTCAACGCCCCAAAGCAGAGGGAGGCATGCTCTCTGGTTTTTTAAAGTTTGCATCTAGTGAAGATGTTAGTGTCTCCATGAACACACAGAATCCTGCGCGATCATATCATAATTCAACTTCAACAACCTCTACCACAATTACACAAAATCCTGCTGTGCCCCAGGAAAACACTGAAAAAGGATGGTTTTCCAGTATATTTAACCCTACCTCTGCTCCGTCTGCTTCAAACCAGAATGTGACTAGTAATTTGCAAAGTCAAAACAGCAATGTGCCATCCAGCTCACAACAACAACAACAAGCACAACAACTTTCGAATCAGAAACCAATTGCCCCCCATGGAATGGAGCATCAAGCCCCAAATCAGACAGAATCACAAAGTTTTTTGACAGGTCTTTTTAAAGGGAGCTCAACCGAAGACAACTCTCCTATGGGCTCGAATCAACCAAAACAAGGACTGCTATCTGGACTTCTTAAATTTGGCTCTTCCAGTGAGCTTTCTGCCAATATGCCACATCAGGCTTCCCAAAACAATCAACCACACAGGAGCAGTGATCTCCCACAGATTCCCAATCAACCTCCACCACAACAAAGTACTTCAGGACCACGGATGGCGGGCCTTGTCTCAGGGTTATTGAAGTTTTCATCAACAGAAAGTATACCACAAAATGTGCAGCCTTCTGAAGCTGAAAAGCAGAGGAACATCCCTGGAAATCTAACTGGCCAGCAGCAGATTTCTAATGAAACACAGCAAACGCAATCTCAGCAAAAGGGGCTTTTGTCTGGCTTGTTTACATTTGCCTCATCTGAGAATGTTTCAGGCAGCCAAACAGTTCAGCAACAACAAAGCAATGTTCAACACAATCAACAGGGTTTCAATCAACAGCATAGTCAACAAGATCCAAACCAAGGGCATCATCTCAGAAATAGAGCATCAAATCAGCAGCCAGGCTTTACTCGACAACAAACGGTTCCACTCCAGCGGCAACCATCCCAACAAAGTGGTATTTTATCTGGTCTCTTTAAATTTGCTTCAGCAGACAACATTAATAAACAAGAGCCCCCATCAGCTCAGCAGCATGGAATTATGCCAAGTAAATCTAGCTATGAGCAACCAAGTGCAAGAGATTTCCCAATGTCCAATCAAAATCAACCACAAAATAGCTCATCACAAAGAACCACTCAATCTAGTGGTTTGCTTTCTGGACTATTCAAATCCTCGTCAGAAAATATGGGTCAACAGCAGCAGTCTGAAATGATCCATGAGACACAACTAGAAAGACCAGTTCAAAGCAACCAACCCATTGAAACACACGTGGACACTGCAAGTCAATCTGGCATGCTCTCAGGGTTGTTTAACAAATTCACAAAATCATCTGAAAACATCGATCCAACCTGCCAGACATCGGCAGTACAATCACTGCATGAGAGAGTCAATAATAATTCAGTCACAATGAAGACCCCACTTCACACTAGTGTAGCACAACAATCCTCACAAGAACATACAGAGAAAGAGAAGAGGTTTCTTAGACCTGCCCAACAAGGGTTTTCATCTGGACTCTTTGGCAAAAATGTAACTGAGGAAGCTTGCACTCCCAAACAAATAGACACATCTGGTCAAATTACAGAACCACAGACACCCTCAAATAAGTACACAGAGTTACATTCAGGCTTATTAAAAAGTGCTTCCGCAGACTTTGGAAGGGACCGGGATTCTCTCTATCCTGGACAGAGCAGACATGCTTTTATTACGGTACCTGTGTCAATTGATGGTGAGAGTTTGGATTTAAGAACCACTGCTACTTTTGCAAGATCTCTTCAGAATCAAGCACCATATTCCTCAATTAGCAATGGCAATATATCTCAGATATATTATTCCGGCACACCTCAGTCAGTTCCCCCAATGGCTTATAGTACAGGAAATATTCATTCACTTTTACAAAGCCATACTCTTCCGTCAATAATGTCCATGCAGCCATTTATTGGCAG